ACGAAGAAATTGACTGGCATTGTATTTTCATTTAAATTAATTACCTCCAAATTGCGCATGATCTAGAATCGAGAGCCGGACTCGCAATAAACCAGAACGCAATTTTCTCCATTAGAATCACAAAGCGAGGCTTTCTATCCTACTTTACTTTTTGCTACGTGTAATCCATGAGAAATACAACAGCACTGTTCTATTGGAATAAATATTGGAGTTAAATATTCACCGAAACATAAATATTAAGGGCAATTCCTTTTTAAAGCATTTTTCGTCAGTATGAAAATGTACAATAGCTTTTTCCGATATTTTTCAGAGTTGGAATGTTTTATTATTAGACTTTTCACGTTTGAAGTAGTGATCTAGCACGACGTCATCTCTTTCCATTCCTGTAGATAAAGACGACTAAAAGAAAGATTGTTATAGCACTGAGGAAACACCGCGGAGGAGGGTTTGTTTAAGAGCTGGTACGCAGCAAAAAATATTTGGAAAAACGCACTGATCGCAGTGATTTTAGGTGGTATTCGTGATAATGTGAAATTGTGGGATCACCTCAAACAATAATAAACTCAGAGCACTCCGCATACGGTACAAATCGTAAGTTTCGCGTTACTGTGTTCTACGAGGGCCTTAATTCCTTCCTACCTTTCAGTTTCTTTTATCTTAAGGCACATACATCTAGATTAATATGGCTTGTTACGAGATGTCAACTGCCCATTGACGTGGTGGACAATATATTAGACTATAATCGCGTATCGCGAATTGAGCAACAGCATTGTAGTATATACCATTCGAGCTCAGAATTATGTAGCGCGCTATTGTATATAAAATAATAATTGTCACATGAAAAGTTTTAAAGAAAAACAAGTACATTATTCTTCATTATTCGTCAATATATATATATATATATTTATGATTATGGGATTGTTGGTGGCCTTTCCACTTTCATAAGGACAGGTGGGTGAGCAAGGACTCAGCCAGGAGGAGTAGGATTTGCTAATAACTACCCGAGTGCCTCCAAGGAAGACCTAACAACTCAAGAGTAGCTGCTTCGCGAATGAATTTACGACCGGATCGGAATCGCGACCCGCTGAGAAGATCTGGCGAGAAACTCAACGGGCTGATGTTTAGGTTAGGTTGCACGTCGAACTCTTTGCCGAGTTCGACGAGTATATTTATTTTAAAATTGTATTCTCGTTTGACTTTGACAGTTAAAAATGTGTTTAATCACGCAACTGATCTAGTGTTTACGAAATTTATAAAATCTTTAATATAATTTTAAACATACAAAGTTCTAATTCATGACTTTTTTATTTTATGATTAGGTGGGTGGACGAGTTCACGACCCATTTCGTGTTAAGTGGTCACCGGAGTCCATAGACATCCACAATGGAAATGCCGCCACCCACCTTGAGATATGAGTTCTAAGGTCTCAGTTTTAAAAGTACAACGGCTGCCTCACCATTCAAACCGAAACGCATTACTGCTTCACGGCAGAAATAGGCAGGGCGGTGGTACCTTCCCGTATGGACTCACAAGACGCCCTACCATCAGTAATTACGCAAATTATAATTTTGCAGGTTTGATTTTTATCACATGGTGTTATTCTTTCACCGTGGAAGTCAATCGTGAACATTTGTTAAGAACGTACATATTTCATTAGAAAAACTGGTACACGTGCCAGCGGGATTCGAACACCGGTGCATCGCAAGATACGAATGCACCGGACGTCTTATCCTGTAGGCCACGACGACAGCACAGAAGCAATCAGCACAACAGATAGGTTTTCATTTTTTTCCCAGCCATTTACAATATTCATTCATTTCGCAAAAATTAAAATAAAATTACTGCAACAAACTTATTCATTAACACCGTCCTAATTAATTCAACCGTTCTATTTCTCAGTTCCATCGTTGAGACCGTAATAACTATCTACGAGATATAAATACTCATTAGAATTAAATTCAACACACATCTGTCAATTTTTTTTGTAAAACTAATATGCATGGGATAAGGAGCAAAATCGCGTGAGACTCAATAATCTGTTGTAAAGGTCTGTAGGATGGGATAGATCACGTATGTATCCTAGGCATCAATAATTCATCGTGTCACAGGCAAATAGACAAGCTTGAAATAACAATGGATCAATGTATTGCCGGAGCTTTTTTTCGCAAGTCATAAGCGACAGAGCTTTTTCTTTTTTTTTATTTGTCGGCACTAAATAACTTTGTTTTAGTTTAGTTTGTCTCAAAACGAATAATTAGTGACTTTTCACTAGCTTGGGAATAACGGGACGTAATTGTACTTGCTTCCTAACGCTAAACACTAAACAAATAATATTCCTGCCATATTAATGTAAAATATTCGCTAAAACGGACTATTAAATTAATTAGAACTAAGTGCTAAAAATCTTTTAAATGTCTTATAAACAATAATTAGGTCAAACAATACTCACTCGTTAATTAAAAATACTTTTGAAAAGTTTTAGATACTTTTTTTATAATAGTTAAAATTGTAGCTCGAGAATTAAGGACGTCCCTCCTTCCTTGAAGTTTTGTCGTACAGTACGTGTAGTAAATTTTAGTAACAACTTCAGTCGCTTTTATTGAATCTTATTGTCTCAGAACTACTGCACCACACTATAATAACGACCTGTCTTTGTTTTAAGTGACGCTTTCTTCACGCCTGATATAAGTTTACAAATTACGCCACAGCAAATCAGGCTAAGCTTTTCCTGATTGACAGGCGCAGCGCCACCAGCGTATTCAGATCTGCAAGCCCTCCCGCACTCTTCCCGCAATCAGACCTAGAGGGGTAACACTGCAACACGTCGGAGTTTTTCTAAGAACGGACGCTTGTTAAGCGCATTACATCTATTAATGAGTTCGACCCTTGTTTCTAAATGTAAATCACACGCATTAGACATTTAAATAATTCGCAAAACTTATGCAATCGAGTCCTAGGCGATCAACTAACGGCATTAGAAAAACAAACGTAACTTCGACATAATTTTGCTGGTTTAAAATTTACATCATGTATCCGATGCTTTGATTAGACAAGAATAGTCGAGATTAATTGAATAGTCAAATATATAACTGTACGTTTTTCAAGAGAAGTGAGTCATACCGTACGTTATCAGACGATGGTTTTCCTGATTTGAATACTGAGATCGGATATTTATTTGATAAGTATATAGGATCTTCTTTTGATAAGCTGTTAAAACTACATCTTAAAGATTCTGAAATTCTTCATTAAATTTTTATTGTTACGTCAAAGGAGCGTGGTGGTCTTAAATTATGTTTAACATTCGTTAGTCACGAGTGGTAATGTAGTAACAAAAATGTTAAACCTCCTTGTCCTTTTTTCCCATGATGAATAAAAGAAAAGAAAGATGGCCAAACTATACTTGAGACCTTAGAACTTATATCACAAGGTGAGTGGCGTATTTACGTTCTAGATGTCTATGGGCTCTAGTAACCACTTAACACCAGGTGGGCTGTAAGCTCGTCCACCCATCCAAGCCAAAAAAAAAAGCGCGGGAGGTGGTGATGTTTAAAAAAATTATTGTTTATATTTTGTTTTTTATATTTTATTTATTATATTTTATCCGGGTTTTGTTTTTTACGCAACATTAGGTGACATGTTATAGGTACGTTAGAAATAAATAAAATTATGTTATAATATAATCGGAAAAAAGCTATTAGCCTGCGGGATTTGAACATCAGGCATTATGTCCTATAAGTCACGACTATTTTAAGTAAGTTTAATTTAGTCTGGTCTAATATGCTTTGATTATACGAGTGTTCTTATTCGCAGAGAACGGCAGAGGAAAAAGACTGAAATGAAAAATAAAAAAATATTATTAAATCGAGGAATGTTTATTTCAATTCACTTACATTTTGCAATCATTGTACTAACTATTTACAATATAAGACTTATTATACATTTAAAACTTAATATGAAAAATATACTATTCCTTTGGAGCACACATTTTATTTGGACGGTACCGTTTACATTTAGTTATTGCTATTAATTATTACTAAATATTTAAAACAATAATATTAAAAATATATTTATTTCCTAATAAAATGTATTGTACTATTCAAATTAGAATTAGCAGTACTACCCTTTGGCGGGTAGGCTGATGAAATATAATAGCATTAACTGCCGTCTCGCTAACGTTTCCTTCTTTTAGGTCTTAATATTATAATAGAATATACAAAAAATATGACCAAAAACCTCAAAAATGGTTTCAAGGTTAATGCTGATGCAAATAATCAATATTTCGTTTTGCAGTTTTCGTAGATACAGGAAATGAAGTTTACAATAAAGAATAAGGTGCTGTTAAAAACGGGCCATTTGTTGCTTTGACAGCGGTGTTTGATTTAAATTTAGCCTTCCCTGAAGTTGCTATAGCAACCGTACTACTGTTGTATAACAATCCGATGAATGATTTAAAAAAAGACAGCTTAGACGTCAAACATACAAAGAAAACATTTCTATTTAAATATATTAAACTAAACAGATAGAGATCAAACTGTAAAACTGTTTCATAATCATGCTCACGACTTATGACAAAACAAAAATGACATTATATTAATTAGGTATATTATGCAAAAATACTGGTTCAGGCAAAATGTTTTATTAAATTGAGCTAAAGTCAATTATCATTAAACTAGAGCTATTATAATTAAATATACAGTTTATCGAAAAATATTTGTACAACACTATGTGTTTCTCTATTACTGTCGAAGGCTGGTGGTGAGTTTAACGTTCATTTGATTGTAAATGCTCAACCTTCGTTCATGGAAATCAGCCATTTGCTTGTCGGGTCGTCTGTTAGTAACTCATCATTTTAGTAATGGTGCACATGGTGGCATTTGACACATGGTGAGATGCGAGATAGTCTCGAATTTATTATAAGGTTTTCCTACCAGCATTTTCTTCAAATTGTAACGCATGTTGCTTGTACGTACTCCCAGTATGCCAAAGTCTTAATTTTTGCTTTAATACAATTTTTCGTCACTAATTTTATAAAACACATACAGTACGTGAATGGTTCGTATAAATTTTGTAAGGTATACTATGCGTAAGGTGTCGTACAAATTATTCAAAAATGCATAAAAATATATTCAAATGTATTTAAAAATCGATTTATAAATGAAAGTTTATTGGCTAATACCCACAAAAAAGGTCTTGTAATTGATAATAATCGAATAATCGACTCAGTAAATGTAACAAAAATAGGCATAAATTTTAATTAGTTTAAGTAACCATAGCTCTGTCGGGTTGCATATTGTTCATGTGATTGTAAGTGAATCTCTGCCCGTAATCCGGTAGTTTGAGGGTGGTATCCGACCAGGGTGGACTTGGGTTCCATCTCTCCATACACTCTTCTTCTAACGTCAAAGGGGCTGCAAGACGCATGCGTTTCGGAGCGGGGTAGTCTATTGCTGTGGAAAGAAAAACAATTTAGGATACGTTCTCGATAAGTCCCTAATTCTAGTTGGAATTACTCCTGAAATCGAAGTGAGGCATAATGTTAGTGATATTAAATTAGTATCTTTTTTAATTGTCGATGAGTAACCGATGTTTGTCATTTACAAAGTACAAATAAACGAACAAAATGTAATATTGTTATCTTTTTAGTATTTGAAAATTTAATTTTTGTTATTAATGTATATACTTTTTTTAATGCAAATCATAGAACTAAAAACGGATGAACTAACATGAACTAACGGATGAACTTACGATACTATATATATGTATTACAGTAATAGTAGAGATATATTACTAAAGATATAACCCAAGGAGGGTTGAGGACAGGCAGGTGGCCGGTTATAATACTACCAAGCTCTCGTGCACCATAATAATAGGACATGCACGCATAACAAAAATCCGCTTAAAGAACAAAAAACGTATCAACAATGTGACACATGCTGTTCGCATTTAAAATAATGTACACAATGAAAAATACGAAAATTCTTTAAGAAAGTCTACCGAAAACATGATAATCAGTATTAAAATCAATGCCCTAGCTAAGCCAAGGCATATTGACCAGTAGTCAGAGTCCTTCCTTAAAAATTTCAATGTCAATTTTGGAACAGCATGGACATCTCGACCTCCACGTTATAGATGTAAACAAAACTATCAGCTCACCTTCAACAGCAGTGCTAGTGCAAGGTTCAGTGACCTGATAATTAATTCTTGGATATTGCTCGTAATATTCCCTCTTGCCTTGATAAGGATACATGTACATATTACTGTTCACTACGATGTCGGCTGGCAAATCGTAATGATGCGGTGATCTGGGGATAAAATAATTAACTACGTTTTAATTGATTTTCTTGTTAAGCTTATTTTTCTACCTATTCGCTGGTAGCCTAAGAGGCTATTCCAGCTACGCCCGGACGGCTAGGTGAGCTCGCGGGCTCAACCTGAGAGGTTTTGCTAACATTAGCACTAGCAAGAGCAGTGCTTCGCAGAATCCGGCTTTGGAATGAGCTCCCCTCCACGGTGTTTCCCGAACGCTATGACTTGTCCTTCTTCAAACGAGGCTTGTGGAGAGTACTCAACAATAGGCAGCGGCTTGGCTCTGCCCCTGGCATTTCTGAAGTCCATGGGCAACGGTAACCACTCACCATCAGGTGGGCCGTATGCTCGTCTGCCTGCAATTTAAAAAAATCTACCACTGGATCGGAATCGCGACCCACTGAGAAGATCCGGCGAGAAACTCAGTGAGCTGTGTCTATGGGTTACTTTGCTACGCCATGCCCTGCTAACAACTTGAAGTCGGCATAATAACCCTTTTCCTCATTGTTCGGATCTCTTATATATGTTATCGGTCAAACCGTAAGCCATAAGGTCGATGTTCACACGCAAAGCATCTCGTTACAGAATACATCATCTTTTTCTTATACATTGAACAGAATACATCACTTATACAGAATACATCTTATACAAATTTCTTTTTGTTGTTTATATGGGTGGATAAGCTCACGATCCCTCTCCAACCCTTGTGATAAATGACACTTTGAGACATGAGTTTTAAGTTTCAGTTTTATTAAGCGTTACTGCTACACGGTAGTAATACTAATAGTGGTGTACATACCTACGCGAGATTAAAAGACGCCCTACCAGCAGTAAAGTGCCATCAGTAAAGATTGGAATGGTGCTCGTTTATATCAGAATGCACGATTCCTTCGTGATAGAAATGGGCAATACTACGATCATTACGACTTAACAACAGGCTCTTAATGTTTGAAGGCATTGTCATCTACTTTGATGTCTATGGTCTCCGGTAGCCACTCAATCGTAGGATCACCACGAGTTGGTTCGTCTTGAGAGCAACGCAAGAAAATAATACATCATCATCAAAGTAGTAAGTGAAAATCAAACGATGGTAAATTAAGATGTTAGCTCAGTTTTAATATCGTAATCGTTACCAATAATAAATCTATTGTTAATTACAAGCTGTCAATGTATTAGCTCGGCTGTTCTTCTAACAATTGCAATTAACCGAGAGTTAATGAACAAGTCACATGTCAAGTACATTGAAGTCTGTAACGTCTATTTTTGTTTAATCCATTAATGAATTTTATTAGTCTTGCTCAATGTATTAATTAATTTTCTGGTGAAATTCTAATACCGTAAATATGTACTTGTTTTAGGGAAAGAACTACCGCAGATCACTACACTTTAATAATTTTCTTTTATTGTGATTTAAAATATAAATTAGCCCACGGCTTAATTGGCTACAAGAGCACATAGATATCACACAACGCGAACCGTTCACTTCGTAAGGTGATGTCGAAGCCCCAATTGTGTATCTGGTGTTCTCCATAAAACAGGAATGTGTAATTGCTTCGTGGCAGAAATAGACTGCATGTAGGTGCCTACATTTTTTTTAGGAAGGAAAGATTATTGGTGACTCGAAGGCCTTTTTACTTTCACCAGGATAGGCGGGCGAACAAATGCTCAGTGAGAAGGGTTGGTATTTGCTAACAGCTGTTCGAGCGCCTTCGGACGAGACCTAACAACTCAGGAGGTACCCACATTATTACCCTTTCACCAGTTGGCGATAACAGTACACCATTTGGTGTTAAACTTAGAGAGCGCTGCTATCTAGTCTCCGGTGAATCATTTAGTTATCTTTTACATCGTCGGGAAGAGATGGCGCTTAGTATTTTAAGCAACCACAGCCAAAAGGTTTCACAAGTTAATTTTTGGTATTATAATAAATCATTCTGTATGCGGAATTGCTGATGTCTCATCTTAACTAACGTAGATGGCATGTATTTCTTTAATTATTATTTGTGGGAGGCTTCCATTATTAGTTTTAATTTCAGCATTACTACATAGTTTTGTGGTATTAATATTATAATATATTTATTGTAGAGTTTTTAGTCAATTTTGTAATGGTTGATTTTGGTTTTCTTTAGCTGTTAGTTATTCATTCTGATAGTCACTTAAATACATAATTTATATGAAAAATAAACATGTGCAAGTTCTAATGCGCAACCAATTTTGTATCTTAGTTTGTTAACTAATTAAATTAGTGAATTTCAAGTATACTGTTTTATTTTTAGTAAAACAGAAAATTTTAATCACGTGACATTGATTTATTGTCAAAAAACCGCAGTTGAATAAACAAAACCAGGCCTTCGACCTGACTCTGTAAAGGTCACGTCAAAACTCATACAAAGATACATCAAGCAACAAACTATCGTACGCGGATACATCACTTAAGCCCTTTAAAAGTAAACCTTTTCATATTTGATTTTGTAAAACTGAATAAACCGAGTAACGTGTTACGGCGATTTCAACTTTGTAGTAATAAGTTCAGAGTCGTTGTCAAAGCAAAGTTATATTTGTAAAGTTCGTATGTAATAAATATGGTAATGAAAGGTGTCAAATTACGTGGACTGAGGAACGGACAGATGGACAGGGTGATGATTTTCTTATTTATTATTCTCTCGGAGGTTTCTGTGACCTGACGTTTACTAATTGTATCGGTCGACCTTGGAGCGTGTTTATTTTTATTTTACATTATCAAGCAATTTGATTTGTTATTTGAACTGTATTAAAAAGGCGGAAAACACCGAAAGTACTTTTATTGTTTTGTCCGATTTTTAACCGACTTCAAAAAAGCAGGAGGTTCTTAATTCGACTGTATGTTTTTTATGTTTGTTACTTCATAACTTTTGACTGGGTAAATCAATTTTGATTCTTGATGATTCCTTTTTTATTAGAAAGCTGAAAAGACCAGTCCAGTTCTGTTATATGGTTTTCTCATAATGGTATCCATGAGAAAACCATATAAGTCTTAAATTTGCAGTACGTGCGCGACAAATAGATGAATAACTCAATAACTCAATATCACGCCAACCGATTTCGATGATTATTGTTTTTAGTGTATATTAATTTGTTTTGGAATATCTTTTTTTTTCTATTTGAAGTCGCTTTTTGTTAAAGCATGTCTATTTACAATTATTTGGCATTAATAATTGATTGAGCATTAGAACTATTACGAATTATCTTTTTCTGTTCTATTTTTGTAAGCACAAAATAAAATAATCAACTTTGTAAGCTGTGAGAAACAAATTCTACCGACTCACCTATCATCGCTGACGGTAGACTGCGGTGAATGCGTTGAGTAGTCCACGGGACCTCTTTCAGTGTACACACCCTCACACATATACTCATCAACTTTATGCACGTATGAAGACACGTGATACGCAGGGTATTCCACTTCTTGGCTCTCCACGTAAGGGTAATCCTGGTATTCCGGATAGCACTGTTCACGTCTGAAGAACTTCTGACATCTCGGGTCTAGAATCCCACAGGGCTGGTTTTGATAGCCGTAGTATTGGTACAGCCAAGAGTTAGCTAGCATTATCGAAGCTTCTTCTTCGCTACAGAGAAAAGGATGGTTTTATTTATGAAAGTTTTCAGAGGTAGTACATACACTAGCCTTAGACTGTTGATTAAGCAAGAGTTGTTAAATTAAGTCTCTTAATGACACTTAATGAAATTAATTATTTTATTTCTAGATTTAGCACTGGTGATGATCATAACTCAAGTAAAACTGGGCAGACCCGTGGCGAAATAGACACAGTTATGTGTATGGATATGTCTTATTCAAAATAGTTGCTTTGTTCAAACTCTAGTTATTAGTGATGTCTGCTGACTATGGCAATAAAGAGATCAGGGAAATTACAATTTCCACAGGTAAATCTCAGATAAATTCATCGTTAGATCCTTCATTCATCGACTGAGTCTTTGAAAACCCAAACAGCAATGTGTTTATAAAATTTTCAAATTTTTTTTTAAGTTGATCTGTAATTATTAACTGGTAGTAGGAGAGTAATTATTAACTCTGGAGAGTCCGCATGGGTATGGACCACAACCCTCTCTATTTTTGCCGTGAAGCAGTAATGCTTTTCAGTTTGAAGGGCGGGGCAGCCGTTGTAACTATATTGAGATCTTAGTACTCACATCTCAAGGTGGGTGGCGGCATTTACGTTGTAGATGTCTATGGGCTCCAGTAACCTCTTAACACCAGGTGGGTTGTGAGTTCGTCCATTCATAAAAGCAAATAATAAAAAAATTAAAAAATATATTAACCAACCTCAGTACTTGGTTTGTAGCCACGATGAACTGCCTTGGGGCATCAGCTGCGTCCTTGACTTGCAAAACGACATGTACCCATAAATATTGTCCATTCCTCTGTTGAAGTTTCACTAATAATATACAACACTTATCCTGTTCTGATTGCGTTACTGAAATACGTTTATATAATTAGAGTTTAATAATTACTTAGTTAGTTTATTAATTACTTAAGAACTTTAAAAAAACTGTTTCAATAACTGTTTCAAAACTGTTTAATAAGGTCTCAATTTCCCACAAAATTCAGGTGTGTGTGTGTGTGTGTGTGTGTCAAAGGAAAAAAAAACTTAGTATTTTTTTTTCATTTACTTTGTATTCAGTGGTACGCAATTACTATTAAAGTTTTCTCATTTGTTGGAAAGTTCTATCTACGAATACTTACTTAATCTATGTTTACTCTGTGCTTCCCTTAGACTATCCCAGTGTATTAGCTGATACCACGATACGTCTATCAGTTCATTTTTGTTCCATCCTAAGTACCATTCGCCGCTGTAACAAATGTATTACTAATCAGATTTAATTTTTTCGACTTATTATCATCGTGTTGATATCAAATTAATATGAAATTTATATAATTCTATCTATAAATCTATAAGAATATCATTAAAATTTCAGACGGTTCGAATATTTTGCAGTTTTTAACCGACTTTAAAAAGAAGGTTACTGGTGGTAGGACCTCTTGTGAGTCCGCGCGGGTGGGTACCACCACCCTGCCTATTTCTGCCATGAAGCAGTAATGCGTTTCGGTTTGAAGGGTGGGGCAGCCGTTGTAACTTTACTTGAGACCTTAGAACTTATATCTCAAGGTGGGTGGCGCATTTACGTTGTGGATGTCTATGGGCTCCAGTAACCACTTAACACCAGGTGGGCTGTGAGCTCGTCCACCCATCTAAGCAATAAAAAAAAAAGAAGGAAACTATCAATGAAACTATTTTTTGTATTACTATAGTTATGGACGACTAAAGTGCAGTAGGTGGACTTTTTAATTTGTGCAAACTGCTATAAATTTTTTCATAAAAAAAATAATTGATAAAACATTCGAAATCATTTTTCAGTACAGTAAACGACAATTTTATATAAGGATACTACTATTACTGACGGTCGCCTATTCATTAGAACATAACATAAGTCATTTTTATTTTTTATTGCATAGACTGGTGAAAATGCCTACGCTTGGAGTAAAATCTTTAAACTTCCCAACACATATGTATATAAGTAATAAATGCTTATCATAATAACTTTCACAATAAAACATATTACTATATACTAAGTTTATGTAATTAAATCGACAGAAGTGTCAGCAATTAAAATCGTTCATAGCCACTTCTACGTACTATGTACAATAACATATCGTTACTTATATTAACTCGTTACGTTCACGAATTTAGCGAAATAATTAGTTCGAAAACCATTCGTAGGACCATTAATCATTCTATAATTAAAGCATCGGCTCACAGCGCACTCTTTGCGCGTTATTTAATCAATTAATCTTCCTTGCGAACTTGATTACACGTTACCGCTATTCGTTAAATGAAAAACTTAATCCACTTCGATCTTTGGATTTAATAAGATCTCCTGATTCGTAACTTGTTAGTACCGTTTCGAGTTTGGGTTTATTGAAAGTGTCTAATTATTTTTGAAATTATTAGAAACATTTACTGTATCTATATTGTGCTTGTTTTATTGGTTTATGATACGTAATGTACTTGTTTTTGGGTCGTTTAGTTTTATTAGTAAATCAAAAATATACTACATAATTATTTTTTTGATCTATATCGACTTTTTTTTTCCTACCTAAGCTGAGAGCCTTGTGAGGCTATTTCAGCGTAACCTTAACTAGTAGATGAGCTCACAGGGCTCAAACCTGACGACGTTGCTAACACAAACCCTACCAAGAGCCGTGCTTCGCAGAATCTACCACCGGATCGGAAACGCGACCCACTGAGAAGATCCGGCGAGAAACTCAGTGGGCTGTGTCTGAGGGTTAATTTACTCGTCAAGCCATTCGTGGCAACGACGAGAACGATGACCAGTGCTTGAGGTACCTAAAAGCACAGTTCGGGAAGATCCGAAATGACGTGTTTGGGGCGACGTCGACTGCTTTCCATTCTGAATGGATCTTTGATTGTCTTTTTTGTAGCCGTGGCTTATTACAATGATCCTATGTATTTGTAGAGGAATCATTTCGGTCTGACTGGAACTACTTAGTCTATTACTGTCACAAATCAATCGCGGATTCCGGTTCGAAGTGTAAGTAGATGATGTACTAATGAATTCCAGATTTTAATGTTATATCTCGAGCTGGTCTGTGGAGTTGGAGGGCGCAAAAGAAGTCATTTTTTGTTTACGTGTGTTAAAATTTTACAATAAGAAACTTGAGGCGTACTTCGCCAATGGCGAGGGCGTTCTTCGCTAATGAATTTACTTATTACTATGGAAGACACACGTGATGACGACGTATGTGATAGTTTATGGTTACCCATCAACAGCATGTCAGGATAAAGCCAAGTGTTGCCTGTCGTGGGACTAAAAAAATGTACTTGGTGATCTTACTTGGCGTCAACGTGGAGTATCTTCATGTCCATGGCGTGCAGCGTAGTGAAGACGTTGGTGGCTCCGTGCACCACGCACTCGCGGGTCTCCGGCATCGCGAGCGGCGTGCACACCGCCACAAACACCGGCTCGTTGCGGCTGCACAGCGGCAGATATGACACGTAGTGACCCCGCACAAGAACTACCTAAAAATTGTGTGTACCATTAATTTGGTATTTCTTAAGTTATAGCTTTTTCTGTCCCGCATGATGGATGTTCCAAACTTAGAGCCGGTTTGAGGTTGGTTTAAAACTTCGTAACTACAAAAACTAAACTACAAGAAATAGCGGGTCACGATTTTAGGGTCAAATTTTTTTAAATAACAAGAGAATAGATCCTCTTGCTAATTCTACTAGTTCCCCATTTCATTGTCTAAATTAACTCCCAATAATTTCTGCCATCTTAATACCTAAATTTTCACTGATTGGTGGAAAGGCAAAACCTTATGCGAATTAATAGGCGACAAATAACCAATTATATTACCCCTATATATAATACCCTTCAATATTAAAATTCCAAGTGGTGGTATGCATGTTGATGTGAATAGTTAGGACCAGAAGAATTAGGTGACTTTTTCGTTTGGTAAGTGATCGATATTGGTTAAACTGGGTAATATATTATTATTTCACTGAAGGATAAGCGGTATTGACAGTTGAAAGACTGCCCGTCTGAAGAGTGGTAAGGCTGTTGTATCATACAGTTGAGATTCTGACCTCATGATTCAAGGTAGGTAGTGACATTCAAGCTGTAAAATGTATATGGACACTGGTAAACTGCTTAAATGATCCAAAAAACAATTCTATTATTAATTTAAATTAAGAATGATTAAATACTTTTGAACTGGGAGTTTTTTCGCGTTGAAGAAGATTTGCTGTCATACCGGCATTCTCTACTTACTTTTTGGTCTCCAAATCTCATTTGCCTCCTAGCGTTTCTTGAAACGTTCATTCTACAGAAGAAATGTCTATTCTTTGGTACATTTTCAGTCTCGCCGTTGCCTCCTCGGTTTAATTCTAATTGCACTGTTTGGTGATCTTGTCTATCTATTATATCGAAAACGCTATCTCCGTGTATCAATAAATCCTCCTTAAATTATAAACTCAAATTAAAAATAGAACGTCTTAGAGGAAATTTAAAATGATATGTAATAGCGTTATTGAGATCACAATGAAGAAACAAAACAGAACCTACCATCGAGTGCCCCAGATACTCCGCAGCATTTTCCGATATATACAATAGTTTCCCATTTTGTGTCATCATCATCATAAAGCCATTCATTGCCTGAAAACATTGTAAATGCGAGCTATTAACTGATTTTATGTTGCAAAGTAAAAATATCGTTAAATTGTAAAATATACCTTTGAAAATCCGATATTAGGTGTGGGAGTCGCTTGCTCTTGATACTGATAGCTGAAATCGTGACTCTTGAACACTAAAACGGAAAGAGAGACCGAGTTATGGGTGAAGTTATAGCAGCGAAAGATAAGATAGCGAACTAAATGCATATTAAACGTCTTAATATGCCTTTTCGTGACTGGAGGTGAGCTGACAAAAAGTTTGGGAGACAGTTTAGGAACGACAGTTCGAGATTTGAGGATAACGTGCGCGTGATGAGTTTAGAAGATTCAGGCCATGTGAACTTGTCGCGGGAAAACTTTTACGGAAATAAGGGATTCCGAGGGCTGACTAAGACTCATGTAATATTTATTTCCAAAATAGGACATAACTATTTTGGAATCTATTGGTTTTAAAACATGCATAAGTAGATATTTTCAAGGCATTGGTTATTCGTCTTTCTTTTTTTATATTTCGATGAATTATAGGAACGTATCTATATTATGATTTCAGTATAGGTATGTTAGAACCACTGCTCAATTTAGTTTTGCAGTGAAGAAGATACTATATGTATGTACGTTGCGGCTTTAAGATTACAGTAGTTAGGTTAAGAGTCTATTTCAAGGTAAATAAAAGAATTCACTTTGTCTATTGACTTCGGTAACTACTTTAGATAAGCATAAAAGGGTATTTATTTTAAAATTTGAAATAGCTACTTATAATTCGTCAATAAACCTTTTAATCTTTCATCACATTACATTGACTTTATATTCACCATTAAAATAAACAGGAAAAAATACATCTAATGGTTCCCGTAAGATTATAAATTAATTAGACCGTCGATTAATCTGGTTATCTAAGTTCATAATTGATTGTTTTAAAATTTATTATAAATTGAATATTTATGTTTGTTTAGCTACGGAAATAAATTCATCGCTGAACCGGAGATCACGGTTTCGCGCCATTGTTAGCAAACGACAATAATAAAGCAAATATCCTTTCAATTATTATTAGACGGAATATTGTGTTTTATATAAAGCACCACAAATTTGCAAGGCAAATATTTTTGTGTGACAAGCTCTTGAACTTACTGCATGCCTATGTTTATTTATGGCTTTTAAATTGGCTTCGTAATAAATGCATCTAATCTCGCATATCGATCGTTAATTAATTCTATGGAGCCGACGGTATTGAGAAGGGCAGACTGATTAAAGTGATTTATTGTGCCCTATGATATTTACGATCAATAATCAAGTAATATGTTAGAAGTTAGAAGTTAGAAGTTAGAATGACTATGTTAGAGGAAGTCTGAAAGTGGCACCTGTGACAGAGGAGCTGAGAAGTGCGCGTTTGGGATGGTATGGACATGTGATGAGACGAGATAAAAATGTGGTTGGTAAGAAAATGTTAACTAGGAATGTGGAAGGATATAGAGGAAGAGGTAGACCTAAGAAGAAATGGATGGATTGCGTGAAAGACGATATGGGTAAGAGGGGCGTGAGCGAAGAAATGGTATATGATAGAAGAGTATGGAAGGACAAAAAATGTTGCGCCGACCCCAGATAACTGGGATAAGGGCAGGGTAATGATGAATCAAGTAATACTTATAAAGTGCATTTCGACTTGTAGGATTGCAGGGCACACAGGGTATTTTAAGTTTTGATTTTAAGGACTTCATTATTCTTTCATTTCAATTGAAAGTGCCAATTCATAAATTATCCAGCGTAAATATCTGAGCGATCCCATCTAATCATTTAAGATCAATTAATATCAAATACTCGATTTGTGTTCATTAATTGCCTTCGAAGGCAGATGAGCATTGAGCCTACATAATTAACTGCTTTGTCTTTGAAGTATTAACTGGTAATTAACTAATTACTGGTGGTAGGACCTCTTGTGAGTCCGTACGGGTAGCTACCACCACCTTGCCTATTTCTACTGTAATGAGTTTCGGTTTGAAGGGTGGGGCAGCCGTTATAACTATTCTGAGACCTTAGAACTCATATCTCAAGGTGGGTGGCGGCATTTACGTTGTAGATGTCTATGGGCTCCGGTAACCACTTAACACCAGGTGGGCTGTGAGCTCATCCACCCATCTAAGCAAATAAAAAATAAAAAGTATGTTTTTATTAGTATTCGATAATTATTAAAATTACCTTGTTGGAAGTAATTCATTTTCCTGACGTAGACGCAGACAAGTGCCATGAGTTGTAGTTGTGACAGTCTCTGTCGGGTGGAGGGTGGCAGAGGAAGCAAGTCTCTGAGGTTGGAGATTTCAGCGTTGATCAGATCCCGCCGCATTTTGCTGGCACCTTTTGTTGATTTTGTCGGTTCGAATCTGCACAGTAGTCGATAGTTTTAATTTTTTTTAAATAAAAAATGTTTTCTGTAGACTAACTTACTAGTTTTAAAAGAAAGTTATTTACAAAAACACAACCTTGTATTGTGAATGAGAGATTGAGATCATTTTATGGTATTCATATTTATTATTACATAAAACAATAATCTTTCCTAATATATAAATCTACAGTGGTTTTTATGGATCATCCGTTCCGATTGACTTGAAACTTGGTATCCATGTAGAAAATACATGTGCAATACATTAATGGATAGGCTAATATTTATATGAGTGTTGGACTCCCTACACCAGTTGCGGGGGCGTTAATTATGAAAATGCTTGCGGGGGTGAGAAATAATAATGTTAATTTTAAATGCCCAGCGAAGCGGACGGGTACAGCTAGTAATTTATAAATAATGAATTTCACAATTCCCTTTTGAAAAAGGAACGTTTGGTTTCCACTTTCACAAATTATGTACTCTCAATTTTAACAGAGCCACAAAAAAATTTGTGTTTCCATTTCGTCTAGCAATTTCCTTTTTTAAAACTGAAATCTGTCAGTCATTATAAGTAATGAATTTCACAATTCCCTTTTGAAAAAGGAACGTTTGGTTTCCACTTTCACAAATTATGTATTCTGAATTTAAATAGAGCAAGTAAAAAAGTTGTGTATCCATCTTGTCTAGCAATTTCCTTTTTTAAAATTGCAATCTGTCAGTCAGTTTCTTAACAATTTATACATGATTTCCTCAATATCTTCACATCCAGCTATTCCAATAATTCATAAAGTACCATGTTCTAGGGATCAGTAGACAATGCGCGGATATAGTTCCGGACAGGTGTCGTCGGCGATGTTAGAAGAATGCATTAGCATATCTATTGGTTATGTATAGAGGCCCTTAGATTACTGCGCGATAGGTATTTCGTGGGAAATAAAATAAAGCGCGGTTTCGTCTTTATTTTATTTCCCACCTTGGTTATTAATTAATAAAGCTGCTTTTACTGGTGGTAGGACCTCTTGTGAGTCCGCGCGGTTAGGTACCACCACCTGCCTATTTCTGCCATGAAGCAGTAATGCGTTTCGGTTTGAAGGGCGGGGCAGCCGTTGTAACTATACTTAAGACCTTAGAACTTATATCTTGGGGTGGGTGGTGCATTTACGTTGTAGATGTCTATGGGCTCCAGTAACCACTTAAAATCAGGTGGGCTGTGAGTTCGTCCACTTATCTAAGCAATAAAAAAAAAACTAGATTTTCGACAGTTATCACGTGAATATGCGGGCGACAAAATTCTCAAACTGTATTTTCGTGTATTAACTATTAATACATAACTATCAATACATAACGCTTATTTTCAAATTAAGCCCTAAGTAGTTTCCGATAGTTCCTATGGAGTTTTCTAATAAAATAATGCAAGAAAATCATGTCTGATACACAAGAACAGGATGAAAGAGATAATTAGGAATATCGGTCGAATCTTTGTTTAGCTTTGTTAAAGCTATGTTCCGTCACGCATCTGGCAATTGTTTTTTATTTATGTTAACGAAATAGAAATTACGATCCTGTGGCAAGTATCAAATTTTCCGATGTCATTGTTAGTTTGCGCATATATTCCTTATCAACTTTGCTGCCGTGTGTTGAGGCAGCTCGTAACACATCCGCGGAGACTGACGTCGTTGGTCGTCGACTATCGCCTCGACGACCCGTCGGTCGGGCGTCCTCGGGGTGGCGCCGCGTGTCTGGTTGTAGTGTTGACCGCGGGAACCCCCCTACTCTGAACGGGTTCTGACCCCGGACGGAGATCGGACGTCGGGTGTAAGAGTGCAGGGGAGTCGTTTAGTGGGTGGGCCCTAAAATCCTTGGGCCCGCGATCTGCTCTCAACACCTGCAGATCGTTGAGTCTCACATACCCCGCGCGCCCCCTAGGCGCGGGGACCTCGTAGGAGGTTCGGCCCCCGGCCCGAGAAAAAAAAATGGTTATAGTCCGGCAGGCTGGTTCTGGCCCAGCGGGGTATCCCGGAACACCAGCGGCACCGCCCGGGTGGCCTGATAGGGCCGCCGTACCGCGGAGACCGACGTCGTTGGTCGTCGACTATCGCCTCGACGACCCGTCGGTCGGGCGTCCTCGGGGTGGCGCCGCGTGTCTGGTTGTAGTGTTGACCGCGGGAACCCCCCTACTCTGAACGGGTTCTGACCCCGGACGGAGATCGGACGTCGGGTGTAAGAGTGCAGGGGAGTCGTTTAGTGGGTGGGCCCTAAAATCCTTGGGCCCGCGATCTGCTCTCAACACCTGCGGATCGTTGCGTCTCACATACCCCGCGCGCCCCCTAGGCGCGGGGACCTCGTAGGAGGTACGGCCCCCGGCCCGCGAAAAAAAAAAAAAAAGCTCGTAACACATAATAAATTTTATTACAGCTTCAAAAGTGATAATTGCACATTACAAATTTTATTATAACGCCGTTGTGCTATTATTATATTGATTTCATAAAGGATTAATAGGATAACTTATTATTATTTCAATAAAATTTTTATTCACTCAATCAATATTTTTATTCTTATCAGGTAGCTTTAACGGTTTTACCTCACACCTCCTTTTACAAATTATGATCGAAAACGATAGAAAAAACTCATATTTAAAAGTCAGGAGGAAGTGTCCTTCCGTGACGGCTATCCGTGTTAACATGCGGCCGGGCTCCCAAAAGCGGCACATCAATACACGCGGCCCTTTCATCTCACTTGGGAGTCCTTTGTAAGAGTCTGATGCATTGACCATATATTTAGTTGTAGAAATTTCACTGTTTTTATTGTAGGATTTCTTGTTTGTTTTAAAAATCATAATTTTAGGTTGTTTTTATTGCGTAGATGCGCGTACGAGCTCATGGCTCACCTGATGTTAAGCAACCGCCCGAACCCACCACAGACATAATAACATCAATACCGTTTTGAGACTATGTCTATGTCTCAATGAGTAATTAAGCGTAATATAATTGTTGGATAATTTTTATTATACAGTATTATTCCTTCATCGTGGAAGTAATTCGTGCTAATTACGAATTACATTAAGTAAATTGGCGAGGTGCCTTATTCTGTAGGCCACAACGACTTCTTTTTGATCTTGTGAAATGGAAAAAGTTGTGTTTTTCTCAGCTTAGATCCACATTTCACCAGTTCCCACAGAGAGAGTATGAACACATTAGGTTGTTAGTTATTATTATGAATTATTTAGTTTTATCATTAATTATGTACAATGAGCCAATTATTATACTAGTAGAAGCATATGTTTATTTTATTTAAAACTTAGAAACGTAAATGCGAGCTTGGCATTAAAATTCTCCTCAATAATGCAAGCTTAGGAAAATACCATTTACGTGTATTTTTTTGTGTATGAGAGATATATTTAAGATAAAAACCGATGAGGTTTGCAATTTTTTTTTTTGTTTTTTTTTCGCCGTTTTTTAGTCATATCATAACTTTTACTGTCTGATAAATGGAAAACACACCATACATTTTTCTGTCAACGTGAAACTAAGAGGATTTTGAGAGAGTCTGGACACTTTATTTAGTTAGAGTTCTAAAATTTTTTATATTACGTCAATGCCCCTAAGTTTATTTGTTTCAATGATTAGGTTTTTTTTCAATGACTATGATTGTGGGAATCGATGATTGTTGTTCTGTCGCTGTTATTAATTTGATTGACCGATTATTTGTTCTCTTATTTTTGATGTTTAACTTTATTGATTGTTCGGATTAATAAATAGTTCGGCTCTGTGAAGCAATCGAAGGGCAGGCACGCGGGTGGGATGAATTTTATAGCCGTGATTCGTGAAATTGATTTCATCAGGGTTAAATAATTTAATTCCTTCAAAGATTTCAAAACATTCCTTTTGGAAATTATTTTGTTAAATACAATCGCATGTCAGATTTTGAGTAAAATATTGTGAACGTGGTCAATACATTTCTGTGATAAAAAACACATTGACTTGATTAAAATGCTCAGATGTCTTGGAGAGTTATTATATTTAATTGTAGACAAAAAAAATCGCTTTATTGACAGTAATTATAACACGAGGTCACATTTTCAATAATCTTTTCAATATTTTTCCTTAACATTCCACTGTTTTTTTTACTTTAGCGGTTGACACGCATTATTCAGCTCATCAGCATTGCTACGGGCACTAAAATTATTTCAAGGCGCATACAAAAGCATCTAATAGCGCTGACAAACATCGTTGTGACAAATTAATTCTGCAGTATACCCTTCAATTTTTTTAAAGGGATGACCTGGTAACTAAGACCTTTAGGTCAAGTCCTATTTTAATTTGTATTCTTATTTTTTTGAAAAATGATAAAATGGAGTGAAATGAAATGAAATGAAGATGATTAATTTGAGACATTAATCAACTGGGATGAAATTAAATGAAATGAGATGAGATGATATGGGATGAAATATAATCTCAGTAAAATGGTGGTTATTTACTAAGGTTTTTCAGTGGACTTTTGGAGGATTCCGAGAAGTTACGTTCAGCGGCTTTGTTTCATTTTCCCACATTTGTGTACTTTCACAGATATTAAACAGTTAATAAAGCACCGTTATTTCACATTTAAGCCTGAAGAATCACTAAATAGACAATAAAACCAAATCACACAACTTCACTCCTCGCGTTCCCGCCAAAAAGTCCATACCCTTCGAAATTACCGTACAAAACGCAGAGATGAACTAATTTTAATCACAATAAGAATTTATAATCGATATTAATGTTTAAATTATGATATCGAATAGTTCATTTTTGTCATGATTCGGACAACACGCATTTCTCAATTAATAAATAACAACAAGGCTTCGCGTTAAGTTCTCGTATCGATTTTATACTAAATCGATTCGACAACGCATCGACTAACTAGATAATCGTTTACGTATCGAATACGTACAAAAAGCGCATTCCTAACATAGTTGGAGGCGTGAATGATGTGGACACGTCACGGT